TATCAACGAAAACACGCGTGAGGCCTTTTAGTTAGTACTTGTGCTGCCAGTACAATCCCAGTATGAACCACTAGCCATCCATTGGCAGTTAAATGAAATTTAGGCGATTATTCCGCGGTGGCGACTGATGTACGTCGGCCCAAATACTCATCATGTTTCGATCTGCGTCTATGGGCCTTTGAATATTTTCTTATTCACTCCAGCTCGGCGGTTTATTTCTAACTGCAATTATATTTGATAATGGTCTCATTTAGCAACACCAAAAATGCCGTTAAAGTAATTTTCATTTCGTTTCTTGGTACAGTGATGGTCTGCAGTCCTGAAAGAGCAAATAAGCAACCTGAGTAAGTAGGCAGATATGGTACGTAGGCGAAAAACATACCGAAGGAACGCCACAGAGGGGCGCACGCTGCCGTTGGGATAGCCGGATATATACTCCTTGATACATCGGCTGATATTCATATTTTTCCTAAAAGGGAACACACCATTTTCCATTCGAAGTCATTGAAAATCTTAATATAACAACAATCATAGAACAGATGTAAATGGAGATCTCACTTAGTCTTTTACTATACGGTACCAAAAGATAAATGAATGAAAATTTTCGCGCTCCAAGTATTTGCGTGTATAAAGAAGCAGACTTGTCGAGCAAGGTGTTTCGGAGAAACAGGCCTAAAATTGCAGTCCTGCCTACACGAACACAAACTAGAGGCCCGGAGACAGCTTGCAGCCCACATCGGAGAGACTCGCGAAGAGTACGATATTCAAGGACTGACCACCGTAGGCCGAGGAATCTCAAAAGCCCAAAGACTAACGCTTAAGGCATGGTACTTTGATGCTGACTTCGTCAACGGGCATGTAGACCTTCCCGCGGCCTACAAAGCCTTGCGATATTATGCGAGCAGAAGACAGAAAGAGGCCAAACCGAAAGAAAGAATTGTAAGCGAAGCCGATCCCACGAGGAACCCATCGGAAGAGGAGGCAGGATTACCAGGAACCTCTACTGCAGCGACAAGAAACTACAGTAATGGCTGTTTATGACCCTGAACGACCCCCGACTCCGCTGAAAGCTAAGTAGCGTACACCACTGTAATCGTCTCCGTCCCATCCTTTTTGGTTGCTCTTTCCTTCCCCTCGACGACCCGATCACCAGTGTGCCAATGACCAATGTGCCCTAATGTGCTCCTAAAATATTATTTCCGACAGCATCATTTCATGGGACACTTATTTGCTAAACAACGCAGTTAGTTATCAATTACTGGATAATGGGCGGGAAAAAAACTGAGCAGAAGTAATTTGAGGAAAACGACTATGCTAAAAACTCCAATGTAACAATTATTTTGCGCAAAATGTAAATGCGGGCGTCCGGTGCAGTATTCTGGACCCCGATTGCCGACGATAGCGGCATTACTGAACCAAATCCACACAGCATTCAGGTGGTTATTTACCTCACCGTGGAACGTTGTAGTATTAGTGACACTTATTATTATTCAACGTAATGCTAAAAACAGACCAGAAATAAGGTCAGTTCCAGTTAGCCATAATTTTTTAAAATTAAAAAATTGACTACTTGGCACACTGTGGCGCACTAAATGCCAGCTTGTTCCCTATTTCCAAATAGAGATTTCAGGTTAGTTTCAACTCTAGCGGTAGCTCGTGCGGTCTGTCCGAACACAGCTATTCTTTGACATGCTAGCTGCTTAATGATGACTGCCGCAAAAGCCTGCTCGCCTATACCCCCACAGGCTACGTAGATCCTACTGCGAAATCATACGCCTAGAGGGAGCAAAAAGGACTTATGGCTCATTACTGGCAAGGATTTGCGGTCAGTTGCCGTCCTGAGATAACGGGGGTCGACACAAATGCACAGGGCCAAATTAGCGCACAAACCCTCCTGTCCACAAATGACATGGAACAGGCGAGGTCAGAAAAGTGCAACAGGGAGTGTGGTAATCAGGTCAGACTAGGGGGAAGAAGAATGTAAGAGAAGAGTCATTGACCAATATAAGGAGACTTTCTGTACAGCAGTTTTTCTCCATCTGTCTGCATCAAACTTCCACAGGGGCAAGATTATTGACCAGGCTTACAGGCCCAAGAAACAGAATATCTCGAATCTCCGAAGGTGTTTAAATAGATAGAGTATGTTTAATTGTGAGTACTTGACCGTTCGAGAAATTAATAGAGCGAAGCCTTTAAAGACCTCGCCTTGATTAAAGAAAAAAATTATGATTTCATTAGTACAGGAGGTATGGACGCCGGAGCTTTTCACGGAGACTTCCAAAAATATTTACGGGTGAAAGACACACGAAGGATGAAGTCGACTTTTTGCTTCGGTTAGTTTAACTATTTAAATGCTTGACAAACTCGCATTCACTACTTCTTTCATGGCGATAATGAGCCACGCTATATATAAATTATACCTTTTACTGCCATGAATTTAAATAAATCTTACATATAACGCTTTTCAAAGACATGCTACAAATAACCAAGCTACGCATTCCATAAAGAATGATTCTTTATCGACGTTTTTGTGATTGAAATCATAAGACATAGTGTGAATACCCATCGGAGTTTACTAAATATAGCAGTCATACGATTTTTAAAGAACGTATCTCGTGTATCAAGAGGGAGCGCAGAGAAAAATTCCGGATAAGCGTAGTAACTTTGCCCATTTGCGTAGAGCTTCACATGTGGCAGATTTTTGCCGGAATGGGCGCTTGTAAGTACACGTTGATTGAAACGTATGAACAGCCGTTCCCATGTAAAAAACCCTTACCAGCCTATAGTCTCAGTTTTAATTCTAAAAAGAACATAATTCCTTTAGGTTTTTCTGCGGATAGGCTTTGAACGGTTCGTAGTAGTAAGCCTCATGTTCAAAAACCAAAAGTAAAAGTGGGAAGGCTAGTGGTCTCACAAGGAATGCTTCTGATAATAGTCTTTTATGTAGCCGTCGAATTATTTGTCTATAATTTTGACTACTGTTATCCTACCTGTTTTGGTAGCCTTTCTGGACATTTTTGTTTACCCCTTGTGAGTATTCCAATCTTTCTGTCCTCCAGAAAACAACTCAAGACAGAAAATTCTATATCATGAAAACTAGGCAATGTTTGATTGCCGGTGGTAAGACAAGGCGTATACAGGCGTCAGGCCGTACGCAACTTATTTATGACCAACTGTGGAATAACGCCTAGTCATTCAACAGGAGATGCGTCACCTTTCTGCTATGATGTGGAACCTCTGGAAGAAGCCCAATAGTTTTTTGAGATGCTTTTAACTGAAAAAAATGCTGAGGCGACCCTGCAGGAATGATCGGCACGAGACACAGTGCTAACTCAGCTTCCACACAGTAGCTAATTGACTTTTGACCGGACTTATCTCCAGCTAACTCTGTAACAAATGAGTGGAAAGAAGTTTGTGCTTTAGATAAATATGCACTGGTCCTCGATATCTTTACTGATGACGTAGAACACTTGTTATGCTTCAGTTTTTAGAAGTTGCGCCCTCCTTCCATTGTGACAGATCTCGCAATTATGACAAACTTTCCGATTCTCATGCAATGCTTTATACAACCTCCTGTCTCTGAAGTTAGCAGCAGAACGGACAAAGTCAACAGTCTGCTATAAACTTCAGTTCGACCATTCTTAACGACGATGTTCACCGCATGTGCCGTGTGGCATGATGTGCGCATTTAGACTATAATTTTAACGGGTATTCGCAACATCTATCACACTCTTCCCTCTTTCATCCTCTTTGACGCAATGGCGAGGCAGAAATAAGGCAATCGGAGGCAGGCACGGCCGCAATGACTGTCAAGGCTAAACAGCCTACCCATGCTTGCCACACATGACCTGGTCAGTGAACGATAAGCCAGGTTTTTCCAGAAGCGAGGAGGTTGCTCCGCTCAAATGAAAGTGGGAATGCTACAGAGCTGTCACGTTGACAAGGGGTCATTTCAGCCTCATTCTCTGTCCTCAGGGACAGGAGTTATTCCGTCAGTTGACGTTTCGGTGTTCTTGCGG